TTTGAAAACTTCCAGGGTATGATTAAGGTAAACCATAAGCATTTTATTTCTTTCCTGAAATCAAGTAATAAGGTGCCTTGAAAATAAGTATAAAATGCACTGGATGGAATGTCAAAAAGAGGAAGACCACTGCAGATCGCATAACCTACTTCTAGCAAGAGGGAAATCTGCGCTGCCTTAATTCTTCTCTCCCTTATAGCCATAGCTCCACTGTGTGTTCAGTACGCCTAGCCTCTTTTCACTATAACCAACAGAAGCACCATACAAAAGTCTTACAATGGATGTCTTAATCTCTCTGTGTGCTTTTCGAGCATTATTTTGAATTCCATCATGCAGCCTTTTTTCCCCCTTTCCTCTTCTGAAGTTTTATTACAACCACAGAATTCCCAGGGAGCTTTAGGAGCAAGGGCCGCATAATATTGCCCTAACGTTTTGCTCCAGGGAGGGAATATGTATCTTAGCCCTGCTCATTTTTTGTGATGTTTCTCTTGCTGGGAGAGTAAGCAGTGCAGTCTTATGTGTACAGATATATCACCACTACCACCACCACCACCACCACTACCACCACCACCATCATCATCTACCGCACGGTTGACATCTAGAAACCTTTCATGATGATTTCTTTCTTTGACCTCTGAGTGACTAGGCATCTTGTTCCTTAACACTGGAGGAGACAGGAAAAAAATGCCTGAGTTGCTCAATGAGCGCCTTCTAGGCCAGTTTCAAAATGGCTTATTCTTCTGGTTTCCATGGTGACAATTAATGCTGTTTCAAGGCATTGTTCCAGTCTCTATTTGGACAGAATTTGGGGGTGTGATTTTTCACACACACACGCACAAACATGTGCACACATTTTTAAAATGAAGCCAGATAACTTCAGGAAACATACTTCACAAGTTTCTCTAGATAATATTTTCTGAATTCCTTCATTGTGTTTCAAGAAATGGGCTTTCTTGAAAACTTTTTAAAAAGATGGCCAGTATAATTATGCTCCACATCTTTAACTAAGTTAAAGTGTGGGTGTGCTTGTTTTAATTGGGGAAGAGAAGGCAATTGTTAGAAAGAAAGAGTAAGAGTTGGGGAAGAGTCAAAATTCCTCAACTTAAATTACATTGTCGCTTTTATTTTCTTGAGTAGATTCAAATTAAGCAGCACCCATTTGCTCATAGGCATACTCAGCTGACTGTACTGTAAAATAAAAATGGTTTTTTTCCTCAGGCAGGTATGGTAGAATAACTTAATTATTAATCATTTTATTTATTGCAGCCATTGTTGGGTGAAGGGAAAGGGGAGAAAGGAAAGGGAAATCCTATGACTTTTAAAATTCTTAATCTCATTTTTGGCTATTGAACAGTAATCTATATCATAACATTCACAGCCTGTCACAATGGAACAGCCTTTGCTTGCTTGATGCCGAGGGTAGAATGAAAATGAAGATTAAATTATCTTCTCACCACAGGATAAAGAAACCATACTAAACTATGGTTGTGCTGCTCTGATAGAGCTGGGTAGCTAATTTTGCCTGAGAGTGTAGGTGTTTGCTGGGTAAAGTGGGGGCAAAGCATCCACAATTCAATGTAGTGCTATCAGAACCTTACCTCAGCAGTGGAATAAGCACTTTTCTTATACAGAAATAAACAGATACACTTTACTTCCTGTATCCTGAAAGAACACTGGCTGATCTTTTAATATACTCTGTATATTGCAATTAAATGGGCTTGGGAGTATAACTTGTCCTGCCAATGTATAATGTATTATCTGTCAATCAGCATCTTTCATCTTGCTGCTGGTACAGTGAGGTACAGTGAAATACAGTTTACATGGTAAGGAAGTCAGAAAGCATATAGATATTCTAACGTGTTTATTTTTAAGATAATCATTCTCTATAGCCCCTGTCACAGGGACTCCGTGATACGTTGTATAGCAAAAGCAGCTTATTTCGCAGAAAAAACAAATGATATGATAAGTCCTTATGATAACTAGAACATCATTTTTAGGAAGCATCTGCTACCAATTTTGTTTAGATGTGGGTCTTCTCCAAGTGGAGAGCCTCACCAAAATCCTTGTTAGCCAACAGCAGCTGAATCCAGGCTATCCCAGGTGAAAATTATTAAGTAGCCACGTCCACAACAGTGTCAGACAGCTAGAGGACTCCCTTAGTCTATTAATCCGCTTGGCAAAAAATGAAAGAAGTAAAACTAACTGGATTTCAGTGCCTAGCTGAAATGGACTTGGATTTTTCCTGATATTATGCGTACTTATGGAAATAATTATGTAAATCCTTTTCAGCTATATCATCTTTAAATAGAAATCAGATTACATAAAGCAGATTGTAATCTCCTCTAGTCACCCTTTCCAGCTGAAAAGGCAATCATATAGAGCCAACAAGCGTACTTGTTGGCAATTTTAGCCAAGGAAAATGGTTATCTGCTGTGTGATCCAGTCCCATAATTCCAAACCTGATTGCCTCTTGTTAATGCACATTTTTAGAAACTACGGTTCCTGGTTTCTTTTCATACAGCAAAAAGACAAGTTTCTGTTATAAATCTAGACAATCCTTTGGTTGCCTGTTATGCATATTCATGCTTATTTTGGATACACCAACACCTGATCAGTGCTCATTAATAATGAGAAATGCTTTAAATCACCTCATTTAAAACATTTTGCTCTGTGATCCACAAATGACTAATATTTGAAGCTGGCAAAATATAAATGATGTTCATGTGCAGTGCAAATGAAAGATTAAAATATGAAACTAACAATATGCAAAGATATTCATGCAAATGCTGAGGCTCTATTAGCTGAAACAGCGATTTCACACCTTTCTTGTTTTCCGTTAAGTACTCTCCAGTTGTATTTTTGTTTTGTTTTGTCAGAATACTTGTTCATGGATCTGGCAAAAGCTCCCATGTTTTAAACATTTGTCTTTAGTTTAGTTTGACTTTGCTATAGTTAGTCCTGATTTTAAATTGTTTTCCTCTGCAACAGCAACAGGACTAGATTTTCTTCTCTGAGTTTCAAGGAAAGGAAGCGTAATGTTAAGCATGCAATTTGCTAATAGCGACCCATGATTTATGCAGGCCTTTTAAATGCTTTTTGGATAATTGTGCCTCATACTGGTATTCAAATAAAAAGTATATATTGGCTCTGCTTCTTCAAATTCTTTTAAATGCTGAACAGGAAGAAGAAATTCTCTCTCTCTCTCTCTCTCTCTCTCTCTCTCTCTCTCTGTGTGTGTGTGTGTGTGTGTGTGTGAGAGAGAGAGAGAGAGAGAGAGAGAGAGAGAGAGAGACAGAACTGTGGCTAGCAAAAGTTCTGTGCAGTAGATTAAACTAGCTATTACCAGTATGACAAGTGGCAATGAACAAAACCTGCAAAACACCCACCCACCACATGGAACCAATCTCTCCAACTTGTCCTCCAGCATAACCATAGTGGGAAATGGGTGTTGATTTCCAGCAGACCTGGTTAGCACAGCATTCCTGAGTATCCCTGTCCATTCTCTCCCATTTAAAGAATAGTTCCCACTTGTTTCAGTAGGAAAGGATGAAGTTCTATACTTAGGGAGAACATTGCAGAAGGGACAAAGCCTGCTTTCATCCCAGAATCTGAGTGCCCAGACACCCGCCCCCCGGCCATAGAACCTGGGGACCTCAGGGTAGGGTGCAACATAACTTTCTTATGAGAGGTATATGTGTGCAAAGACCCCATTCTGTATACTGCTCCTCTTTCCTCCCTGTACCTATCATGATGGTAAACAATGTGTATGGGCATTTGCAAGCACACGCAGCTATATCCAGGGTAAGAGGTACCGGCCTGCCCATTTACCATGACCAGTAAAACAGAATCTCTTGCTTGTACCATCTGGGACCAGGGAGAGATTTGTCTTTGTAGTTTTGCCTGGGCTATGGAACTGTCTCCCATGGGAGGCTTCTCTTGGCCCCTCTTTATTGGTTTTCTGCCAGATATTGAAGATGTTCCCTTTTTTTTTTTAACAAAGCCTTTGGCACTTTATTACCTGTTCATTTGTCTTATACTATGACCACTGTAATTGTATTGTTTTCGTTTGCAGCTGATTTTTCTGTGAATATGTTCAGCTGTTGGATTTTAATGGTAACATTCTTTTAAAAAAATTGGGATACTTTATACTTTCTGAATTTGATTTTTTAAATTTCCTTTTTAAAGAATTTATTTTTCTTGTTAGGAAATACAAATTTCCTTTAATTGTTAGCCATCTTAAAAAATCAGGAAAGGTGGGGTTCAACAGATTTATCCTCACCTTTCCCAACTTTTGAGCAAACAATCTTGTGTGATCAAGAAATAGAACCCAAAGCCAGCAACGGAAAGGTGGCGTGCCTGTTGCACAAGTGTCTAGATGGGTCTGGACTGCTGTCACTGGACTTTTCAGGGCTGTAAGGGATGATAGGTTTGTGTTTCTCAAGTAACAGCCCACCCCATTGCCCAGGTCACATGGAAAACAGACTCTTGAAACTGAAGGAAGTTTTCATGAGATTGGCTGGCTAAATAGAAAGGTTGAATAGTGACAAAAGGCATGCCAAAGTCCTTGGTTTGTTTCTCCGTTTGCAGTCCAGCCAAATAAGCAGGTTTCAGTTGGCAAGCCTGTTGGAGGGATCTCGAATTCTCTGTTCTTCGTGAAACAAGGGTTACAAGGAAAACAGAATATCTAGACCACACCCTATGCATCCAGTCTCCAGTGTATGTGAATGGTAATCATTCTTTCTCCAGTGTCATTCCAAGGGGGAAAAGTAAAATTCATTTGGGGCCACTGTGGAAGCAGGTGGGAAACCTTCGCAGCACATGTCTATCATAATGATTGACATTTTTTAGTCTAATGTTAAAAATCACTTAGAAGCTACATGAATATACAATATTAACAGAAGAGATTGCCATCATGTATAAGCATCTTACTTTCTAAGATTCAGTTTTGATCAAGGATTTTTTTCCTATGGCTAAGTCATCTTTTCCCCCCTTTATTTCAGAGGTACAGTGTAGAAATGTCAATCAGACACCCCAAAAAGATGGACTTGCTGAATAAAGTTGAAGCTTTGAAGAGAAGTGGTGTTTTACTACCCAACAATCTCCTTGAAAAAGTGGATTCAATTAATGAAAAATGGGAACTGCTTGGGGTATTTGCATTTTTATTACTGTTTGTGGGTTGTGTGTACTTTTTGTGTCTTGAAGTATGCTGTCTGTCTGATTTCTAATTTGAAGCACAAATATCTCTTTCATTCAATTCACTACATATATTTCAAACAAGCCACTCATGCTATTATAGAAAACAAAACAAAAAAAAACCCATAGTATTTTCCTTATCTGTTGATTTTTTTATTCCCTGCTTGTCTCTTGTCTGCTTTTAATAATTTTAGTTCTATAATACAGAAAAAATGTAAGTAAAATATGCCATGTATTATGGGAATGCACCAAGTCAACTATAATACGGTATATCTGATATACACTGACTGTCATGCTTGAGTGAATGTTAATAGAATTTATTCTGAAGGTACATGTTAGAGACATCTACTCTTTAACTATTTACTATACCCTTAAGATGAAAAGTGGGGATGTCACTACATATTTCAGGCCACAATGATGGCTCAAAAAACAAATATGCAAATTTGTATGAATTTGACGTCTTGAGTCCAAGAATCCAGTCAGGATATGTTTCTTGTTGCTATATTCTGCTCATATTTGACAAAAGCAAAAAAGAAAAGAAAAGGTTTCATATAATTCATTTCATGGTATGATGGGTTCTGTTTCAGCCAAACATGAGATACAAGTTTCAGGGAAAAGATGTAATATAGTGATTCTCTTACCCAGACGCCAATAATGCACGATGCAGGAAGCATTATTGCCGATTGCTTTAAGACATATGAGAGGACAGGAGTATTTTTACTATTGATTCCATTCCTTAATCGATTTCTCTCAAAATCAAAGGCAGGATAAGTTTATTAAAACTGCTTAGATGGTAATTTAAGGATAAGGCTTACTTGTAGTGGAGATTATGCAATTATATATTTGCACGCTATAAGCATGTTGTCTAAAAACAATGAGGATGTTCCAGTTACCCTACTGCATCCTTCTCTCCTTTCACTCATGGGAGGACTGTTAGTTCTAATGACAAATATTGTGATAGTCCCATGATTTCTTAAACTTTGGAAAGAAGGAATTTATTAAGAACAACTTACACAGGGCTCTATCATTTTTGACCTACAATATGTCTTCTCCAAGGGTTTTAATCAAGATAATAAAGAACAAAAAGGTAGTTTTTAACCATCTCAATCATTTGTACTTCCACACATGCAATAATTTAATATAGTATGTACAAACCACTGGAAAGATGGAATGTTAAAAAAGTTTCAATATTATAAGACTACAATAGATAAGTTTAGCCATTTATAATCAATTAATTAATATCCTGAGTTTTTTTTTCTTACAAAGAACTCAAGGTGGCTTACCTCGTCCCGCTGCTCTCAATCTTATCTCCACAACAATAACATTGTGAGGTAGGTTGGGCTAAGAGTCTGAGACTGGCCCAAAGTCACTTAGTTGGCTCCATGGCTGAATGGGGACTCGAACTCAGATTGCCTGAGTCCCAGTCCCGTGTTCTTAACCAGTACACTGCACTGGCTCTCAAATGAACAGGATACATACAGGTTCTACCAAGATGTAATGTGTGTGTGTGTGTGTGTGTGTGTGTGTGTTGTCCTCCATTAAGTATCCAAAGGTCAGTGAAGACTGACCTAGAGGAGACGCAATCAAGTCCCACTGTCTAGCTATTGCAAATGGAAACATTCAGTCTCACCTGCCCACTGACTATAGTTCTGATGGCAATAGAGGAAGGGATTCTATTGACCCCAAAACCCCTCAAAACCTGGAACCCACATGGTTTGCATTGCATGGCTTTTGCTGTCACCTTAGTTTTTATGGAGGCCCCTTCATTCAGCAAGGAAAAAACGATGCATGTGCAGAAGAGGTTTCTGGCCTGTGTGGCAAGACTTAGAACTGTGACCAGAAAGGAACTCAGTATATGTGGACAGCCTATGCAGAGAGTCGGTGTTATTTACTTGGACTGCAATGATCCCCTGCCGGAGCATGGGGCAGTGCCCAGGACCCTAAGAACTACTCCAGGTACACCCAAGGAGGTAGGCATAGTTGTGGCATTTTTGTACCTCTCTTTTCTTTGAAGAGCAGCAAACTCCCACACCAATGTCACAGCCTGCCTTAGAAAATCCCTTCCTATTCCTAACGTGGGCACCATGAGACATGAGAAGGGTGTCTACTTACTGAAAAAAGCAATCTTAGGCCTCCCTTCAGCATACAGAATGAGCCGCTCTTTCCTTGAATCTGAGCGCCTTACTTCAAACGCAATTCTAGATGTCTGGTTACCCTTGGTAGGATGTACAATCAGTCAGATGAGTAACTAATCAACTTTTCTTCATTAAAATAATCAGATATCAAAATATAAATAAAATACTACCCTACCACATATCTTTCTTTCTGCATGTTAAGATCAAGATGCAATTTTATATCAATTTTTCAAATTAGTTTCTGCATTCACAAAAAAGTTGCTTTTTCTTCTTAAATGAAATTTCATGTATAATAAGCAGTTTTTGATTGAGTTTTCTTTAATTTAATAAGAAAAACTCTGTGGAAAAGAACAACACTAGGCACACTGTTTTAATTGGCATGATTACATTTTAATTGGCATGGAAAAAAATTAAAGACAAGGATTTTAACTTCTAACAATGGTAAAATAGAGAGATATGGTTTTTAATATTACTTTCATCTAAGGTGAACAGTGTGGAATGGAAATACATTAGAATGAAATGTCAGTGGTGCGTACAGTTTAATCTGTGAAATTTTGTCCCCTGTGCTGAATATTACTCAGTCTCAATTGCATATTAAACAACCCTATCAAGGCAGGCATTGGCATCTGCTGTGCTGACACAAATTGTGAATTAAATGAAATTGATGTCCTCTGTCGTATATTTATGAAGACGGACCATTCTCTGAAGTATTCTGTTTATGAAGAATTTATGATTGCAAACTGTTCCAGAACAAAAAAAGTGGCAATAAATTCCTTTTTGTGACCCTACCCTCCAAGGGCATTGATTTCACCTCCTGCTGCTACTTTTGTTACAGCATAAAAACAATAGCTAAAGCTGGATTCCACTGAGAGCCTTCAAATTATCAATATTTGAGCCATCAAAATAGAAGGGTGTTGCCAAGAATGTGTGTTGTTTTTTCCTGATATGATCTCCCAAACACATTATTTACACAATGCTTTAGAATACATGAGTATCTGTGGATTGAATTCAGTGTGTGTTTCAAAGCTTATTCTTAGATTCTAAATTCTCAAAACGATTTAGTCCATGGTCATTACACTGAATTGAATGCAATAATTCCTAACCCTACCCTCTTTGAAAGATGCACTGATTATTGCAGCCAATAGAAGACTAGCGCCTGAAACTTGGCTTTCATTATCCTTGAGATATATTGGTCTAGTTTCCCAAATAATTGCTCGTATAGTCCCAATTATATTCTCTTTCTCTGTAGGTTAAAACTAACAAACAGATCCATGAATGCCTCATATTCTGGCTGTTATCTAAATTTGTCCCAGGTCGAGATGTGTATACCTAACTGTACAAAAGGTAGCCCTTTCATTGTATTGAGCAGACTGCAATAAAACTGCATAAAATCTGCACCAAACTCCACTTTGCACATGCAAAACCAAACTGTGTCTTCTGTGATGTCATCACCATGCCACAGTTGCCCTGTGACACAATGCTCTGTGCCGCAATTGGTTTGCTGGGTGAAGAAGGCGGCTAGCAGCCTTCTAGCTGGATACAACTCAGCTTCCCCTGCCTCAGCTCCTTCATAAATTAGGGAATATGTGGCAGCCCAGCAATGGAAGATGCCTGATAGCCACCACCATGATGTGAAGATTATAGCTGTTCAGCTTGATCCTCAATTGGCAATAACTAGCAATACACGATTCTTGGGGAATTTACTTTTAAGTGTATAGCATAAAGGCTAAACTCACTGCAGCTATGGAGAATGGTAACTCAGCAGTAGCTGTTCAGTTACAAAAGAAACACGCTCATCCCGACTCTGTATTCTCCCAGCTGCTTTTTTCTAAGCTGTGTTGTAGGCCTAAGTTTGCCTTTCAAACATGGATGTGCTACCATGACTGGGGGGGTGGGGGCAACTGGGAACGCAACACGTCTGGGGCAGGATTAGGGAAGGATGACATATCCTCATCTCGTCCCTTCTCTGCTGAAGGCTACCTCCTAATGACTGTGGGACTAACAGACATGGCCGCAGTATAATCACGTTGTTTGGTCCTTGGCTCATGTTGAAACCAAGAATAGCCAGCCATTCTATGATTCAATGATTGTGATTTCAGTATCAGAATCAAAATATACTTCCAGAGCTGTCAAGATCCAGGTGGCATCTTATTATACTTTCTCACAAATGTTGATGGATTAAGCAGTTTGTCTTAGAAAGTCTCCAGTGAACATTTCAGTTGCTTGCGAATTCTGGAGTTAATTTCATACAGACTGCAGTTCAGCCCACTGGATCATCCTGTTCTCCTCAAAATCATTGTTCTTCTGATGAGCTCATAGTAGTATTTCTTAACGGGGCTACTGATTACATTACTTCAACATATAAATATATACAAATACAAATGTATGGGTAGTTGATTTAAAACATTTATGTAATTATTTTAAGTAAACAGAGAAATAAAACCATATATCACCAAGGAGTAAATTCAGATGTAGTTGTAACCATCCAGAGAACTTCAGCTTTGGGGTGATTTAAAAATGAATTAAAATAATAATAATATAGAGAAGACCCATTGAAATTAAGTTAGACATAGCTAAACTAACATAAGTTCCACTTCTGTCTGGATTCAAACCAATAAATATAGTTCATGCTTTAAAAATATATTGATGTGTAGATCTTAATGCCAACCTATCTACCCTTTTATCATCTTAGAATTCTTGTTAGATTTGGGAGATCTGGACTCTAGCCCCAACTCAGCCATGGGGCTCACTGAGTGACTTTGGGCCAGTGACTGACTCTCATCCTAACCTACCTCACAGGGTTGTTGTTAGAATATATTGAAAGGAGGAGTAAGATGTAAGCCACTTTGCGTTGCTTGCTGAAAAAATTTGGGACTAAAATGAATGAATATTCTAGAATAGAACATAGAAGTGTATTATTCAGTTATCCAAGTGGCAGTTCCCTTTATTATTCAATGTCTTATCCCTTATTCACTTGTGATATTAAAAAAAAAAACCAGTGGTGTTTTCAAAAACTGCTTTTGCACAAGTAGAAGGAACTTCTGCTAATGTATCACAACTCTATCCCCTATCAGTTTCAGCCAATTTTCCCCTAGTGCTGCAGCCACCTTGGGTCATATGTCAGAAAGTCTTCCAACCCAAGGGCAGGCTTTTGGAGGAGACAGAAGTATGCCGTGGGGATGAATGAGAGGGCAAGAAAGGCCTGTCCTCAAACATATTTCCACTCCCTGTATTTGGGTCCAAGCCAAAGATTTTGCTACATATTCTATAGCACATCTGACCATACCTTTGGAACAGATTCTTGTTAAAACCTGAGAGGGTAGTACAGGTGACCAGACTACCCTGGGGTAAGAGTGCTCTCCCAGAGAAGTTTGCTTATCTATGTGTGCTTGGACAGTAAGATCCATGGCAAGTGCCATGAAAAAACTCATAGCTGTGTAAATCATAAAGAAAAAAAAATCAAAATCCATGTTGATGTAATGCTTTACTTAGGTCAAACAAAAGATGAACCAGCTTGCACAATTTTAGGAGATGCTATTTTGACTAGAGTAATAAAAATATTCCAGCAACATGGATTTTGAAATTTTAATAAGTGGTAGCCTGAATCCATCCAGAGTATTATTAAGATTATTCCTATCCATCCAGGGTATTAAAGCTGCAATCCTATACAGACATACCTAGGGTTAAACCCCAGTTAAAATCCACAGGACTTACATTTTAGGAGACAAACTTACACTTATGCGATAAATAAAATGCATGAGGAATTCAAGTAATGACTGAAAGAACTATTTAGATGAAGATACTGTTGGCCAGCTATCAGATACATATGCGTTAGAACATGAGATTAATCTATGGTTTCTTTCTGTGTTGCATTAGAAAACCCTCGGAGAGAAGATCCAAGACACAATGGTAGGACACAGTGGGCTCAGTCCACGTGACCTGCTTTCGCCTGAAAGCAGCAGCCTGGTAAGGCAGCTGGAGGTCAGGATCAAAGAGCTGAAAGGGTGGCTGAGAGATACCGAGCTTTTTATCTTCAATTCCTGTCTGAGGCAAGAAACTGAAGGGACAATGAATGCGGAGAAACAACTGCAATACTTTAAGGTAATAAAAACACACACAAAGCACTGGTGCAAGTTGTGTTGCTGTTTGGAGTAAAAATATGAAATGTGTATGTATATGTGTGTTAGTCTCATGTGGCTGCATATTCAATCATTCATATATAATTTCCTGCACATTGCTGTGGGGATACAGCTTTTTTTAAATTGCAGAACTTAATTTTAGGGATACATCTTTCTGTGCATAAGCATTTACAAGGATCAACATAATTTCAGCCTTACATCTTGACTCCTTATAACTGGCTCATTGTATTCAGTGATGAATTCAGTATACTGCATCCAGCTTAATGAAGAATCATTGTGTGATTTTAGCACCTAAGTCATAAATTCCTCTTGAATAAATTTAGCATAAATAAAAGGAAAGGAAAACTCACACAGCTGCTTCCTGTGCTTTGCCTCATGGCAGAAACTTTGTTGTAGCATTGTGATCCAGTGTTAACCCCGTTGAGTCATTGGTACTAGCTAAGCCAATACAGAACCTCAGATTCAGGAGGTGAGACTTGTGAGAGACATTTCAACCTTTAAGAATGAGGGGGAAACCTGTAAAAAGCTGAAAACCAAAGGCCAGCGGACAGAGATGTGGTCATGAGGACAACCCTGACTTTGGCCTTGGCCCTGAGATTCTACACCCCTGCAGGAGTGACATTTGTGGCTTGACAGCAGGGTTAACGTTGTGCCCCCCCCCCCAGCTGTGCCCCCCCAGCTTCAGTCACCTTATCAAAGGACCCAAGTGCGCAGCTCACTCCTAACTAGTATGTTAAATTAATCACCTCATTATAAATTGATTAATAGTTAAAGCACACTTCTTATATTACTTATTTTAAAAATCAGAGATATCAGAAAACAGCACTCTCTAGCTGTGGTATGAACACATCACTTTTTTGCAGGGATATAGAGAGAATCTTCATGCCATTGTAATTTTATTAAATTTAAATCCACCGAGTAAGTTTTCAAATTCTGTAATAGCCTCTTGGGGAATCATACATAAGAGAAAATTGATAATTAACAATGTAACGTGTACAATGGGCATATTTCAAGGAATGTTTGGAACATTTTCAGGAAGTTCAGGAGATTAACTCCTGCTGTGGTTTCATTCAACTTTCTACTTTGCTAAAAATACAATAATTAATGTTCATTATAATATGCAAATCATGGTTTCACAATAGAACATTTTATATTTATACAGAATGTGTACATGATAACCAGACACAGAGCACATTTATTTCAGTAAAAAATACAGTTGTTTACTCTTTACTTTTAGATGGCAGTGTTAAATGTTAAATTGTATTGATTCTATACAAAAAGAAATGTTATTTATTTATTAGTTTTTCTTTGGAAAGAAGAGGCTGATTTGGACTTTTGATAAAAATAGAAGTAGCAGTTAAGCATGCAATGCAGAGACAGCTTGGCTCTGTTAAATGTCTGAGTTGCCCTTTGAACTTGAATATAGTAGCCTTCCACAAGACCAAATTTCATCTGGTGAGGTTCAGCATTTGGTGATTCCATAGTGGTTGTGTGAATCAGCTGCTATCCCTCTTGTACCACTGCCTGGAGTCTAATCAAGCCATGAAGGGGAGAACTGAGGAAACAAAAATTTTAGGTTGCTTGGAAACACAGTATAGTTGTTCAGACAGCAAGTAAAGCTTTGAGCTTTTAAAACTTAAAACTTCTTCAAAAATCATCCAAATTATTCACATTAATGTTTCATAAATGCAAACTCCAAATATTTGCTGAAAGTTAAAAATGAAACAATACTGTAAGTATTCTATTACTTTTTCTATTTTACTTCTGCATTTGTTTAAAAGTTGGCATACAAAATAATGCAATTAATAATGCTAAAAAGGCAAGAGAATAATGATGCAGTGGCTCCCATCCATGATCCAATAAGTCTCTAAGCCCCATGGCTTATGTGCATCCAGTGCATGGAGAAAGGCATTTCAGCAGTGATTGTCACACCTTGCACCCTGAATTTCATCTGGATGGCTGTTTTCAGCCATCTGGTAAAGCTTCTCAGAGAAGGAAGGAAGAATGGAAGGAAGGACGGAAGGAAGCTGGGTGCTATCTGGAATACGACAAGTCTCTTAACCTCCTCTCTAATGCCGACCTGCCACCTCAGTCGGGTGGCTGGCATAGCTTCTTCCACTCCTACTGCAAGGGCTTCAATGCTGGGACTCCAGATAATCATGCAGCTCCACAAAGAATGCCAGGAGGCCCTAAGATTGCTGTCTAAGATGTTCCAAGATTTCAAAAACAGGATGATGGAATACTACCAGTGCAACTGAAAAGTGAAAGAGCACTAATAATAAAATTCTGAAACCCTAAGAGCCATTAAATGTTTTTATGAGCAATTAGATTTTGACTTGCAACTTTGATGGGAAATAATAGCTCCACTCTATTCTTCGTTAGTCAGACTGCCCTTGGAATGTTATGTCATTTCTGGGTGTCTCATTTTGAGAAGGGCATTATCAAGTGGGTGCACATCCAAAGAAGAGAAACCAGGATGGTGAGAACTCTGGAAAGTCACTTGTATGAAGAATGGTTGAAAGAGCTGTGGAATACTGACAGTACCTAAGTGGGGACAGTGGCCACAATGGAAGAACAGGCACTCTAGATCCAAAAGGATCTGGACAGACTGTGGAAGTGGGTGGGGGATAAAGGATGGCATTCAATATGAATAAATGCCAAGTCTTACACTTGGAGCACAGGAATGGGTGTCACAGGTACAGGATGAGGGACAAGTGGCTGGAGGGTGGCACTTGTGAAAGGGATCTCGGGGTACTTATTGCTAGAAGGATGAACATGAGCCAGCAGTGTGATGCAGCAGTTAAGAGGGAGAACGCCACCCTTTAATCTATAGCCAGCAACATGGCTTCCAGATCTAGGGAGGTGCTGATTTTGCTTTATAAGACTTTGGTGCACCCACAACTGGAATACTATGTTCAGTTCTGGGCTCCATTACAAAGGAATATAGCAAGGTTAGAATCAGTTCAGCGCAGGGTCATACAGATGGTAACCAGATTAGGGGGAATGCCATATGAGATAAGATTCAGGGAACTGGGACCTTTCAGCTGTGAGAAGAGGAGACTCAGAGGAGATATTATAGTGACTTGAGGTATGTGAAGGGGTGTCACAAGGTAGAGGTTTGTAACCTGTTCTCCCCTGGGGTGGAGGGAAGAACATGATCCGGTGGGGCAAAGCTAAAGGAACAGAGCTTTAGGTTGGATCTCAGGAAGTACTTCCTCATGGTTAGGACGCCTAAGAAGATAGGGAATTTGCTTCTACAGGATGTGGTGGAGGCCCCATAAGTGAGGGTGTTCAAGCAAATATATGTCCACATGTTGGCTGTTATATGCGTGGACCCAGCTTGTGCCGGGGGTCAGACTAGGTGGCCTAGAAGGCCCCTTCTGACTTGCTATGTTTCTATGTTTGTCCCTGAGAAGGGAAGATTAAAGAGAAGGGTGGTCAAATATCTGGAAGGCCTCCATGCAGAACATGGAACAGAATGGTTTGCTGTTGCTCCTGAGGGCAGAAATAGAACCAACAGGAACAGCTAGCACTTGGACAGTGGACTGAATGGCAGGGCATGCTGTTCACCTGGTCACAGTCTTCTGTGCTATGCAGATATATACAACATTATCATAAACATTCTAATTCTGCGTGTGTGTGTGCGCGTGCGCGCAAATCAGTGCCCTCTTTTGTCTTCTCTTTGCTCATGCATTTTCTCTATGTTGGTGAATCTTCAGCAACGCCCTTAGTGTTGCCCTAGTGCCAACACTGAAGAGGCCATCCCTGCTTGTTAGTTACTTGAATTCACCTGCTGGGGAAATCTATAAAAGATTCTCCAGTACAAATCTTAGACTTCAGAAAGGTTCATACAAGGGAGAAATGGTCTTTCAAGTACCATGATCTCAAGCTGTTAGGTTAACACTTGCTTCTAGAATTGAGACAGGAAACCCACTGCAAGCCAGTGCAGATATTTTGTATTTTCTGAATAATGGCTCTACCTGTCATGTCCTGAACTAACTGAAGTTTCCACATGGTCTTCGAGGGCAGTGCCAGAAATGATACATTATAGTAGTCCAAGCAGGATATTACAGAAGTATGGATAAGTGTGACAAGAGTATATTTCTCTAGAAGGGATGAGGGTCTACTAAGTTATGTTGATGAAAGATGCTTTATACTAGAGATGTCACTTGAGCATCCACAGTAAGGGCCAGGTCTACAAAAAAGGCATAAGCTGAAAATCTTGTCCTGAAAGACAGTGAAATCCCATTTAAAGTCAGAAAAAACACCACCCTTTGAAGCATTTGAACGATCAATTAACACTGTCTAGCATATGGAGCTATTTTGTATAGAGCTGAGACATTGACCTACCTAGGTCATCTTCATTTACACTGACTGAGAGCGGTTCTTCAGAATTTTGGGCAGAAAGACCAAAGTCTTTTTTAGCCCTACCTGAAGAGGTTAGGGATTGAACGTGCAACCTTTTTGCATGCCCAACTGGTACTCCAGAGTCTTTTTAGTAATGGGATGGCATATAAAAACTTTAAATAAAAAAATAAAAATACTCTCCTACTTTAGCCTCAGTTTATTAGCCCACTTTGCTCATTGCTGACTCCAGGCACTGGTTCAGCATCACCATTATCTCTTTCAGTGACCAAACAATGCATGATTTCTAAGTGTAAACTAACATATCTTGGATGGAGATGGAATCTGAGCTAGCAGTGACTGAGCAAGAAAGGAATCTTGGGGTAGTGGTGGATAGCTCAGTGAGAAAAATTTTGGTCATGTTTGCAGCTGTTGTACAATTAGAAATGGAATAGACAATAGTACTGTCAAGATCATACTCCCCTTATATAAATCTTTGGTATGTCCACACTTAGAATAGTGTGTTCAATTCTAGTCGTCTTACCTAAAAATGAACATTTTGAGTTGAAAAAAGTACAGAGAAGGGCAATGAAAATGATCAAAAGGCTGAAGCAACTC